TATATATTTTTAATGAGTTTTATTAATTATTTTACGAGTATACTTGATAGAAAGAAAGTATTACAATAGATAACCCGCATCAATTTGAGGGGGGATGTCAATAGAAGGCCATAAATTATGCCTTGTTAATAGCTATTAATCTAGGTTGTATATACTCTCATTAATAGGAGAGGAGATTTAGCTTACCATGTATAGCTTCCTAAAATCACTCTATGTAATTAGCATGTACAGATTTAAGTTTCCCTGTATAACTGGCAGTCTTGCCTATATAATGAAAGACCTTCTCAAAAGAGAGGACAATTCAAACCATTCTGTTAACTCAAGGGGTGAGATTTATCCATATTAAATCGCTTTAGGATCTTTTCAGTATAATTTGATTGATGGAGCAAAACTCTATTTGAACAATGCTCGATCTGTAGGCCAAGACAATACTTTGTTTTCCCGAGATCTTTCATTTCAAATTCTCTTTTTAAGTACTCAACAGCTTTTGTGACCTCTTTAGAAGTCCCTATTAAGTTCATGTCATCGACATGTACTGCCACAATTGCAAATCCTGATTCTGAACTTTTTATAAAGACACATGAGCATGCAGAATCATTGATATATCCTTCCTTCATTAGATATTCATTGAGACGATTACACCACATTCATCCATGCATATCTAATGAAGGAAGGATATATCAATGATTCTGCATGCTCATGTGTCTTTATAAAAAGTTCAGAATCAGGCATTGCAATTGTGGCAGTACATATCGAGTCCTTCTGAGACCGATAAACTAATCAAGTATCGAAATGTGATAGCATCCATTACTGGTGAATACGTCTCATCAAAGTCAATTTCGGGTCTCTGCAAGAAACCTTGAGCCACTAGTCTAGCCTTATACCTAGCAATCTCATTTTTTTCATTTCGTTTCCTTGTGAATAACCACTTGTATCTATGGGTTTCATGTTTTCAAGCGTTCAGACTACGAGTCCAAATACATTACGTTTTGCTAAAGAGGTTAATTCTGCTTGAATTGCCTTTTCCCATTTTGGCTAATCATGTCTTTATCGACATTCATCAACAAAAGGTGACTCAGACTCATCCTTCATAATTTCAATAGCTATTGCATATGAGAATATGTTATCGACAATAGTTGTCTCAAGATTCCACATTTGTGTAGAATGAGCATAATTTATAGAAATTTCTTCATTTCTATGTTCTTGTATTCCTTTAGGGATTTCTTCCTCTTCAGGGGCTTGTGTCCTTTCAGGGACTGTTAAATCTTCTAGAGTTAGTTTAGAAGATATGGAATTGTTAATTATTCCAGTATTGTCAATATTGACACTTATTTGGTTGCCTTTCATTTCCTAGGAATAGTATCCTTGGCTCTAATAGGCCTACCACACTTCTAGTGTGTAACAGATGAATCGATTGCTATCTGCATGGATTGTTCATGGTAACATCAATCCTTGCTGGTGTATTGACAGCAGGAATGTATGATCTCATTATTTTTGCTGCATCTGTAAATGCATCAGGCATTTGGTTGACAATGTTTTGCAAATGTGTTATGTTTTGCACTTCAATTTTAGATTGAGATGTGCGAAGATCTAAATGAGATATAGAATTCACTTTCCAAGAAAGTTCAGGCTTTACTTAAGGAGGCTTTACCTTTTTCCCTAAAGGTGGGAATGTTGTCTCATCAAAATGGCAATCCGCAAAACGTGCGATAAACAGACCGCCCATCAGGGGCTCAAGATATCTGATGATAGATGGTGAGTCATAGCCAACATATATTCCCAAATGACATTGGGGTCCCATTTTGATGCGCTGAGGGGGTGCAATTAGAACTTACATAGCACAACAAAAAGTTCTTAAGTGGGATATATTAGGCTGATGTCCAAATACAAGCTATATTGGAGAGTATTGATGTATGCAGTGGGTCTTGGACGCATTAATGTTGCAGCTTGTAAAATAGCATGAGCCTAGGCAGAAGTCGGTAATTGCATACGTAATAGTAAAATTCTTGCAATTAATTGGATACGCTTTATAAATGACTCTGCCATACCATTCTGGGTATGCACATGTGATACTAGGTGCTCAACATCAGTTCCCATTGTTGTACAATAATCATCAAATGTCTTTGAGGTAAACTCACCAGCATTGTCCAGACGGATTGCTTTAATTGGGTAATCGGGAAAGTGTGCCTTTAATTTGATAATTTGTGTCAGTAATCTAGCAAAGGCAACATTACAGGTAGATAGTAGACAAACATGTGACCATCGTGTCGATGCGTCAATCGGTACAATAAAGTAATGGAAATGTCCACTTGGTGGATGAATAGGTCCACATATGTCCCCTTGAATTCTTTGTGAAAATGATGGGGATTCTACACCAACTTTAGTGATGGATGGCTTAAGTGCCAATTTTCCTTGTGAGTAAGCAATACAAGCACTCTCATTAGGTAACAAAATCTTTAGGTTCTTTAATGGGTACTTATGTGTGTTTTTTATGATTCTACTCATGATAGTGGATCTTGGGTGACCAAGATGGTTGTGTCAAATCTTAAAAAGTTAAGGATCAGTGAACTTCTGGTTCATAATTGCATGGACTTCAACATTCTTCAAGAATGTGTAATATAACCCTGATGAGAAAACAGGGAGTTTCTCTAGTACATGCTTCTGACATGAAATATTAGTAGTGATGCATAGAAATTCTCCATCCTTTTCACTTAAAGTTTCAATGTGGTATCCACTAAGTCGTATATCTTTGAAACTAAACAAATATCTTCTGGATTTGCTAGAATATAAAGCATCATGGATACTTAATTTAATTTCGCTTGGTAACACAAGTGTTACTCTTCCGGAGCCCTCAATTATGTTTGCAAATCCTGATATGGTATTTATTTTAGCCTCAGTAAAGGTCAAACTTAAGAAATATTTTCTATCTCGAAGTATGGTGTGCGTTGTAACACTATCTACTATACAAATGTCTCCACCATTTTGGATATCGATGTCTCAGTTTTGAAGTCCATCCTAAAAAAAAAAAAATTACATTAGTAAGGATGTTTACAGAACTTCATATTCATGATATGGAATTTTAGGTCCAATTTTTGTCTCTGTTTTACAAACTTCATGTTTGTAATTAGTATTTATACCTTCAAGTTCTAAAACAATATTTTATTTATGGAACTTCAAGTTCATTTATCAGATATAATAAAGAAGTATAGTTGCTAACATTGGTTATCGAAAATATAATAAAAATATATGTAGCTATAAAGGTTATATTTAACAAAAATAAACATATCCGACCATGAAGGCAGTATTCAACAATAATAAATGGGTCTAGCCATGAAGACGGTATTTTAACAATAATAAATAGATTCGACCATAAAGGCGGAATTTAACAATAATTAGTAAATCCGACCATAGAGACGGGATTTAACAATAACAAATAAATTTGACCATAGAGGCGGAATTTAATAATAATGAATAAATCCAACCATAGAGGCGGAATTTTATAGTGATAAATAAATCCAACCATGGGGACAGAATTTAACAGTAATAAATAAATCCAATCATGGAGGCAGAATTTAACAGTAATAAATAAATCTGACAATGGAGGTGGAATTTAACAATAATAAATAAATCCGACTATGGAGGCGGAAACAGGGATTAAATAACACTTGTAGGGTTGAAAATACGTACTTTCAGTAGACGTACACCGTTACACTTGTTAAGCTCTTCCTGCTGATAACGTATTATAATTTAGTGGTGCTATTTAGTAATAATTTAGGAAAGATAAAGTAAAGAAAGTAAAATAAAAGGGATGAAAGTGAGAGAATTGAGAGATGTTAGTATTGATATACTAAAGCCCCTCAAAGGTGGTGGATGTCCACCATAATTTTACAACATAACCCCAATTTTACGTATCTATGGGTTTGTTTGGCTCCCTATTTCTACCCATATTCCCAATCATATTCTCTAAATATTATTTGGCACATTATTTTTGAAATATTACTATATTTTTTTAATTATTTTTAGACCCCTTAAGTTTATTAATTTCAGAAATACCCCCCAAAAAAGTTTAAAAATTAACAAAACACCCCTATCCACCCATACTTGCCAGATTGTCGGTGGTAGCCGAAATCTGTACAACGGCCTGCACCACGACCAGAACTGGCGGGAGTTCACTGATCTGGCCGTCAGCAACAGCCAAAGACGGCCAATCTTGGCCATCGTTGACCGAAAATGACGGCCAAATATGGACTTCTTTGGCCTTTCCTGGCCGTTGACGACCACATCTAGCCGTAGATCTGGCATTTTCTATCTAGATCCGTGGTATTTGGCCAGAAAAGGACATAGCGATGCGTTACGACATAGATCTGACCAATTTGTGTCGTAATGTAATTTTTCGGCTAGATTCTGGTGATGGTGGCTGGAATCTGGCACTGCGGGTGGTGGGGGTGTTTTTGTCATTTTATATGTTTGAGTGTTTAATTAAATTAGCAAACCCAGGGTTTTTTTTTTATAAATTTTCATTACTTCTTGGTTTACAACTTTGTCTGCTCAATTTGCAAAAAGTAATACAGAAGTGGGGCTGGAGCTGACAAATTCCATATTAGAATTTGCAGTAGTTGACAAAGTTGTTCCTGGTTGGCACAAATTTGCGGAAGGCATCTTCACTAACAGCTTCTGACATATGATTGTATCCTGGAAATCTAGGAAAGTATAGTTTGAGTACTTGAGTCTCTCCCATTTTGTCATCTATGAAAACCCGAATTTTGTANTTTCATTACTTCTTGGTTTACAACTTTGTCTGCTCAATTTGCAAAAAGTAATACAGAAGTGGGGCTGGAGCTGACAAATTCCATATTAGAATTTGCAGTAGTTGACAAAGTTGTTCCTGGTTGGCACAAATTTGCGGAAGGCATCTTCACTAACAGCTTCTGACATATGATTGTATCCTGGAAATCTAGGAAAGTATAGTTTGAGTACTTGAGTCTCTCCCATTTTGTCATCTATGAAAACCCGAATTTTGTAATCCATGTATTTACCACGCTATGGGCTGAAGGCAATATCAAATTCATCACTCCTATTTCAACAAGCTGCCTTTCAAGCTCACCCATCAGGCGACGACACATTCCTTGTCCGTGATACTTGAATCTGGTAGCAACTAATGGCATCTCAGCAACCTCTTTAAACACTCTAACAGTTGCCACAGAAACAATTTCTCCTTTCTTCTCCAGAACAATTGTGTGGAATCCTTGAAAGTTCTTGTGCTTCATCTCTGATTTCTTATTTAAGATAAGATTTTCAACAAGATCTTTTCCTGTTAAAGGGTCCTGAGCTGGCTCAAAACACTCATGCATAACATCAATTGCCTCATTCAACTTCCTCTGATTCTCCTTTAAGACCTTACCATTCTTCAATAATCTCCAGGTTAAATCATCTATACCTAGTGATATAGGCATTCTTGTAAGCTTATGGAGGCAAGTAGAAACATGTTCACATCTATCACTGTAAAACCATTTATCATGAGCATAATTTTTCACCTTAACTTCCCCTCTTCTCCTCAGACAACCCGTGTGAAATTTATGCTCGCATTGATCACAAGTGTGAACAATACCATCATCCACAGAATTCTCCATTGTTTTCTCAGATTTTCCCTCACCACAGATCACACAACAACATGAAGGGCAGAACCAATCTCCACTTGGAATCTCCTCTAAGCCAAGGCAATCCTTGTGATAAGTGGAAGGACATGAATCACATATGATTAATTCACCTCCATAGTGGCAAACATAACACACCTCATAACTCACATCTTGATGACCACTATCTTCCATCTCATCACACAACTTCTCTTCACCACTTGCCGATTTATTATTGCTCAACAGTCCCTTTTGACAGTCCAACAAAGACCTCCCATCTTCAAGAAAAATATTAGCAGCAAGCCTATGCTTTTTGCTACCCACATGGGCTTCAAAATCACTGATTGCAAACACCTTAATGCAACATTTACACTTGATCCCTGTACTACATATCCACCCTTCACCCAAATTCCCACTATAACATACGAATTCACCTGGCGTTACCACTTTCTTTTCAATCAACTTAGACAATACAACTCTAAGATTAAACCTTGAAGTTCCAAGAATCACCTGCACGCGGGCTGGCTTCTTTTTCTTTTGAACCTCTCTCAATTTCTTCAATGCTTTCAACGGTTTCCCTCTTCTGGGTTCCTCTAAATTTTCTGACTTCTCCATCTTCCTCTTATTTCTTAACCGTAAAGCGTTAGAAAATTTAGTACAAGACTCTTTTGACTTTGTATTTTGATAAGAAAAAACAACTTCTTTAAGAACTCCTTCATCCATGCAAGCCTTGCAGGCTGTTTTAAGCGAGTAATAAACTTTTCCCTGTGGCGAAGTGTAACGTAACTCTTTCCTTCCTCGCTTATCTGCGTACCACAAACACCATCTCATAGCCAAGAGATAGTTCTTGGCTTCATCACTGCTTTTGTTGTTCTTGTTCTTCCTTCCGCCGGAGCCGCCATGGAGATACCACTGGACAACCGCGTCTGCCCCTGAAGAAGAAACAAGGAATCCTTGTTCACCCCTTAGTTCTTTAGAATGTTTGACATCGAACGCCATGAAAACAGAGAGAAGAAGAAAGCATAGAGCGAAAAAATAGAGAGCGAAACAATGATTTCTTGCGGGTTAAATTTTATATTGAGAGACATTTATTTCTGAAACGAACTACTTGTGCTATGGGGACAAGACTCAGAAGCTTGCAACGGAAGTAATGTTATCTCCAACAGCATTTTTTTTTTTTTTTTAATTAGCAAAATTGAAATAACATGAGTGATTCGAATGAATTAATATTGAGTAATGATTTGCTTCTTATTCATACAAATGACAAAAAATAAATATCAAATGATAAAAGGAGTTATTTTACATAAATTTTATGTAATTTTTGTCCGTTTATATAATTTAATTATAAACAAAATATATTAATTAATATTTTTATAAACAACCCTATTATGTATTAATATTAAAACTTTTATTCTTAAAAATAAAATAAAATGATTGGCTTACTCAAAAATTTCACTTTTATTGAAAGTCTAGTTTCTGTTAAATGCTTTATATCTCATAATTTTTTATTAACTCACTAAAAATTCATATTTTTATTTCTCAACAATTTCTATATAGTATTACATATATTTATATATTAATACAAATTGATAATATATATATATATTAATTATTAAAAATAATTAATTTTCCAAATTCTTGAATGTTTGATACGAGTGTTGTTAAGTTGGAAGGCCAGCCTAGGCCCAGCAGCCCAGGCTCAATCTCTAGGCCCAAGAACTGCAAATTTAAGAGATGAGCAAGGTTAATACTGTCATTTATCTAATCCATTACAATTGTTTCACTCTCTCGCTCGCCAACCTCACTAAACTTTCCCGGGAAAATAAAATAGAAAATTCAGCTCCTGGGTTTTTACGGTTTGCGAAAATGTCTCAGACGGGGAAATTGATGCCGAATCTGGACCAACAAAGCACCAAAATGCTAAATCTAACTGTCCTCCAGCGAATCGATCCTTTCATTGAAGAGATTTTGATCACGGCCGCTCACGTCACCTTCTACGAGTTCAACATCGAGAGCAATCAATGGGTTTGTTTTATTAAATTTTAACCTAATTTTGTTGTTTTTTTATTATCAATTCTTCAATTTTTATATTTGTTTTTGTGTATCTGATGATTGCAGAGTCGCAAGGATGTTGAAGGATCTCTTTTTGTGGTTAAACGGTAATTTTGTTTCGATTTTAAGCATTTGTTTTTTTGAATTTTTACTTTTTATTAAAATTTTGTTTTTTTTTTGTGATTAGGAATACTCAACCGCGGTTTCAATTTATTGTGATGAATCGACGAAATACAGGTCTGAATTTTTATTAAGAATAGGGTTCATTTTTGTTGCTATGTTTACCTCTTGAATTTTGTACTGTATGGAGTAATTAATTTTTATGTTGAAGTTGAGAAGATCTATCTTAGAGATTTATGTACTGATGGTGGATACGATTCTTAGTGTAAGAAGAGATGATTTTGCATTGAATGCATTTGGTGATTGGATCAATGCCATATTATTGGTTAAATTCGCTAGTCTGTGTGGGTTAGGAACTTTTTCATTTTCGAGGTAGCTCGCTGATTTCTATTGCTTGTTTTGGTATTTAATTGTCTGATTATAGTTGGTAAGTGGTACGGTTTAGGCAGGTTGATAATCAAAATTACAAGTCTCAAGAAGTATTTAGATTGACAAAGTTTATTTACTCTAGACGATTAATGGAAGATGTTTGGTTTGTTTAAAAGTTGCATTGGTTATGTTTAGGTTCAAGGGAACTTGGCGTTATGGAAGATAAAACCTTTTCTTTTCCCTTAATTAATGCCTTAATCTGAATAAAAGGAGCACCATGATAAAATTCAGTGTCTTTTATCCTTCAATTTAGGAATGGGAAAAACTGCTGATTGTTTTTTGGGCTCAATTAAGTACTATAAAAATATAGTTCTATTTCTACTTTCACATCTCACTTAGGGTTACTCAGGGTTGATCCCTTTGTTGATTTAAATTTCAGTAGGTACTTAAAAGGAGCTTATTTCAAAATTATAGTACGCCGGTGCCACCTCTAGCTTAGAATTTTCATTTTAAGTTTTATAAGTGAGAATCCATTTCTTTTTCACTGAAAAAATTGCATATTGTATATGTATTGGGACAAAGTTATTCTTGTAAATGCTAGCATTATATATTCTCATTTATGCTATCTGGTTTCCCTTTCTTTCTCTTGCTTATAAACAGAAAATCTAGTGGAGAATCTATTGGGAGATTTTGAGTATGAAGTTCAAGTTCCATATTTGTTATATCGAAATGCATCCCAAGAAGTTAATGGAATCTGGTTTTATAATGCTCGTGAATGTGATGAGGTTGCAAACCTCTTTAGTAGGTAATGATTTGCTCAATTGTTTTCATGCACTACTTAGATATTGAGAATTCAGAGCGCATGAGATAGTAAAATTGATTAAACTTTTAAAATATATAGCAGAAAGCTCTTAAATGAATATTACAGGAAAAAAAATGTTAACAATGTCAATAGATGTGATGCATCATTTGGTACCTATCTTGGCATATAAAAGTAAACTTTTTTTTTTTCTTTCAATTTCTTAACCTTTTCAGGATTTGAACATTACTAGTAGTTTGTAGTGAGTTGTGTGGGTGGATTATATTAAGATATCTTAAATGTAGCTTGCATATGTTGTTCAAAACTTAATTGCTCTGTGGCCTTCTAGTGTGTTTAAGATGTCAAGATAATTTTTTAATCCCTTTCTTTCTGTCCACAGGATTCTTAATGCATACTCAAAAGTTCCTCAAAAGCCAAAAGTATCTGCAAGCAAAAGGTAATGAGTTTTTGTAACTGAACCCAATATTAACATTTGACTAGCTCTTGAATCTCTATAACTTGATCCCTTTTGGATCATTTATCTGTCAATGGTGTAAAATCTCATCATAAGTGAATTGCATTGCCTTTTTGCCCTAGTTCTTATGAGATTGTCGTGTACCAAATTAATACTTTAAAAATGTAAAATAACTTATTAAGTGTTCTGGGCAAGTAACAAGTTGTGCTTGTGGAGTATGAGTTGTTCAACTATCAGTGCTTTGGATATTTATTCTCCTGTTTTCAATATGGTGTAAAAAGAACTGTAAGATCTTGGGAACTGACCAAGTTGATATGTCTTTAATATTCAGAAACTTGACAACATTAAATGAAGCTAGATTGTAATATTTTCAGATATTTGCATTCTTAATTTGATTTTGTTGATTGAGAAATGTGTCCTTGAGAATGTGGTGCATGACTCTATTGTTACTTTCTCAATCTTGAGTCTAATTATCTCATAGTGAGTTTGAGGAACTTGAAGCGGTCCCAAGCCTCTCTATAATGGAAGGCCCTCTGGAGCCTACATCAACCGCCTCTACTGTCACTGATCCTCCTGAAGATCCATCTTTTGAAAACTTCTTCAGTGTATGTGCTAATGGTTCCATATTATTCTTCTGGCTGACTAAAGTATCCAATGTGTTCCTGGCCTGAGTGAATATTTAAATTTTGTATTGCAGGCGGCTGTGACTATTGGAAATAATGCTCCTAATGCTGCTAATATAAGGCAGCCCTATCATTCTTCAGCTCCCATTCCTTTGTTCGCCCATGCACCTACTGCTGTTCCCTCTCCTGCACCAACTCCACAAGTACCGTCCCTTACTCTTTCAGCCTCATCACCTACAGTTGCTCTCCATGACACACCTGACCCAATCAGCAGCAGCAATCGTGTCACTAATCTTGTGAAACCCTCATTTTTTGCACCTCCTTCCTCATCAGCGTTGATTACACCACCTACTTCTTCATCTGTACCAACTGCTGCTACACTTCAACCTCCCTTGAATCTGCAACGCCCATATGGAACTCCAATGCTTCAACCCTTTCCACCACCCACTCCACCTCCATCTCTTACGCCAGGAGCTGCCCCTATTTCTATTGATAGACCTCTTATTACCAGAGAGAAAGTTCGTGATGCACTTCTAATGCTTGTTCAGGTATTCCCATCCTTCTCGCTTTTCTTCGTTTCCTAATTCATTCTAGTAGATCGGATAATTTCTGTGTCTAATGAATTTATAAGGTTTATCGTGTTTGGGTTGAGTTAATGGCAACACAATATTAGTATGTTTCATAGAGATGGTCCTTTGCTTTTGGAAGTCTGGAGTAATATGCTCTTTTCTCCTTTATGTTGTAGTTGTTGGCTGTGGCCTTGACTGATGTATTTTTTCTTTTGTTAGGATGATCAATTTATAGACCAGTTTTATCAAGCACTGCTGAAAGTGCACTCATGAGCAGTGTAAAGCACTATTAGGCTGTGGCGATGTTACCAAATACTAAAGTGCTTGTAAGATCAGTTGTGTACAGCTGTTTTGCCGTTGACATCGGTAATAATGACCGGGTGAGAGTTTCTGTTCTAAGTTTGCCATTGATAAGTTGATTTGGTCATCTTCTTATCCCTTCAAAAGGTTGGTCCTCACGGGTTGGGTTTGTGGAATTTCTGTAACTTTAGGAATATAGTTTCTTATTTAGTTGATTAGCTTGTTCAGAATTGTAGTAGTTGTATCCAAATCCTCATGGTAGAATGTGCATTGAAATTGAGAAGTTTGCTTTTACTTCCTCTTTTTCTGATTTTGTCATGCTCTTTTGTTGGGTGAGATGAGATAATTTATCAATTCTTATTTTCTTTTAACTATTAAATTAGGGGTAAAATAGACATTTTATTTGATTGTAAAAATCAAGTTACTGTTAGGTTCCTAGTTATTGACTAATAACTTTTGAGAGGTTGATTTAAGTCCGCAAACTTACAGAGTGGTTAATTGTTACGTCCTTCGTTTTATTTTAATTAAATTAATTAAGAGCATATCTTAGAATTGATAAGGAAATGGAATTAGATCCTAGGCTATGTTTGGTTCACTGTGTTGCATTATTTAGAAAAATTCTTTAAAAAAAGTTGAATTGGGCAGGTATTACAATGTAAGATTTGAAAATTAATAAAAATACTTATTTACTAAACACGCCTATAATAAAACTTTAAAAGTTAACAAAAACACATTTAATTCACCCATTGAATAATCATAGTCGGCCACCACTGTTGGAGGGTGGTCGGAGTCGTCGTATCGATGTATGACCGATTGGATCTTGCCGGTCGTGCGTCGATATGGCTTTTGCCAGTCAGATCCACAGTGGATCTAGTCGGCAAAAGCCAGATCGATGGCTAGATCTGGCCATTAATGGTTAGATTTGGCCACATTTGCTTGTCAATAACGACTAAAGATACGATCGTCGTTGATGGTCAACGACGACCTTATGTTGGTCGTCATTAACGACTGGTTAGGGCCAAAGATTTGGTCGTTAATGGTCAGATCTTTGGCCTTAGATCTGGCATTTTTCGGTTAGATACACCGTGGATTTGGTCGAAAAAGGCTAGATTGGCGCGCTACCGACCAGATTCAGTCGGTAGTGCACCATTATATCAGATTCTGGCCAACTTTCGATAGTGGTGGCTGGAATCTGGTATAATGTGGGTTTAGGGGTGTTTTTGTAATTTCAAAAAAAATATTTAGGGGTATTTAATTAAATTAACAAATTTAGGGGGTTTAAAAAAGTTGAATAATATTGTGAGTTTTTGTAATTTTATTGTTTTACTTTTTTGGGAATAATAATAATAGTATTTCCAAAAATGAAACAAACGGAGCCCTAATTCCTTGTTTGCTTATTGAAATTGAGTAAAGAATTGGAATCCTATGAATAATCAATTTCTTAAAAACTTGAGTAAAGATTTCTTAATTTTTTCTTTTATAGATTTTTATTTCAATGATTTATTATTTTATAATTTAGTGATTATTAAAACATTTATTGAACAGTTGGTCAGAGTTGATCGTTGATCACCTTGATCGGTGGTGGTAAACCATTGTTGACTAGTTCGTGACCACCGTTGACTAGAGTTGATCAAATATTGACCATCGTTGATTTGTCATTGACCATTGTTCATTGATATTGATTGGTGGTTGATTGGTAATTAAATTTTTATTTTTTAGTTAGAATATGTATTTTAAAAGATTCAAAAATAATAATAATAATAATGAAATTAAAAATGTAGTGTTAAATTTTTAATTTCATGATTATTTTTTATTTAAAATAAAGTAATAATTTTTAACTTAAATTTAATAATTTAATGTTAAAGGTGTTTTTTCAATTTTTGTATTGGTTCTTACTATTTAAATTATTTGAAAATGTTTAACATAATATCTAAAAACGGTTTTTACGTTGAAAATTTAGAAAACTCTGAAAACATCTTTTCATCTGTTTTAAAAACTGTGAAACTAGAGTACAATGCACTTTAAGTTTTGTTTCTTCCTTAATGAAAAGGAGGAAAGAAATCGTTGCAGCACCGCAAAAATAGAGAACCTGACATTCTAGCAACCACTGACCTCGACCGGGTTGCTGATGCAGATGGGGACAAGCAAAATAACAGTTGGTAAGATGGATTGGAAGGATATAACGTCTAAAAATCAATTTTTCTTATATTAAGTAATTTGATTATTCTTATAAGCTTTAATTTACTTGTGAAGTTATGAATTTAATTGATTTTAATTTTTTTTTAATATGAAGCTTTCAAATAAATCTATAGAAAAGAAAGAAAATATATTTTAAAGATAATTATATCCTCATTTAACGCAGAAGATGGGATCTAAAAATCATTTCCTTAATTTTTAATGGTGTCAAATAGATGTGAATGTTTGTATATAAAAAGAAATTAATACTAAATATCCTAGTAAGAGAATTTCCTAAAATAAAGTGGGTAATTTTATTCAGTATCTTGCTACAAATTTTTTTATTTTTGTCATTTTTTTCAGTCAAACTATATTAACTACTAAGAAAAACAAAAGGTGTCGTGTGTTATGTCTAATACTCTGGGCCTGTCCAACCCATTCTTTAATGATGAATGGTTGTGGCTCAATCTGATATTACCCTACGGCCCAGAGTTTAGCCCAATATGGACTTGTCACATTTTCAAGGGGAATTTTGGACTTGGGCTACATCACTCAATACTTCCATGTTCGTAATCAAGTTTGGGGTCATTATTTTTGGGTTAGGATGTTGTATATTCTGCATCTAAAGTTGGTTTCAGTCAAAAGGTCGAACAGGCCCAGTCCAATTTTTTTTTTTAAAATTTAGTCTACATTTGCATATCGGTATATTACCGGAGTGGAGAAGCATGAGCAAGAAGTACTTTTGTCAATTAAAAGATGAAAATTACATATCATGAAATGTAGCTCAAATTATTTGTACTTCACTTGTTTAGTTAGTTAGGAGTGGGTTGTTTTTCTCTTGTGAAGGATTTGTACATCCTTTGTCTATTTGTTCTTTTGGGGTGAGCTTTCCCTTGCTTGTTCCAGAGTAACCTCATCTTAGGTTTGTTCCGTCTTTAGTTTGTTATTCTTTATTCATTTATAAAATTACTAATTACCAAAAAAAGATTAGATCAAAAAACCAATTTGGTCCATTACGAAAATCAACAAATAGCATTTGAGATATGGTTAATTAGGGAGCCTCTTATATCATATTTGGTTTAATTTTACATTTCAAAAATCGACAAAAACTTTTCAACTAATCTGTTTTATTTTACCAAAAGTTTTGAAGAAATAATAATTTAAAGAGTTTGGCCCCACTAAATTTCTTAAGAGACCCATGTTAATATTTCCTTAGATTACAATATTATCCTCAATCAAAATAACATAAAAACAGCCTGTACACCATTTTTTTGGTTAAAAATTATTTTGCAACCTCAAATTTCAATTATAATTGTTTTTTAATAGTTTTACTTAATCATCATTGTTGATACATAAATTTACCCCAACTAGAGTGATTCGATCGACCTTGTCGGGATCGGAACTGGTGTGTGCGTGATTACAGATAACCAACAATGAATGAATAATGAATGTAATAAAAAAATAGCAAAGAGATTTTTAAAATGGTTCGGTGAGATGAACTCTTGAGCCTATGTCCATTGTTTTTTGTATATGCTATGGGAGCTTACAATAGTAAATCTATGAATATTTTCCAACCCCTTTCTCATTGTTTGAGGGGGTTTATATATAGAGTTTGTACAAAGGAAAGAGCAAAAATAAATGGATTACAATTAAATTGAAATGCAACTCTGATATTCTCGCGATTGGGCACTGTGATTGTGTAAAGATTACTGTCAATCTCATCCCTTCCAAGATATCTGGGATCTAAAGTTATCTGGGAATTGGTTGAACGACCACGCGGATTGTTCGTGACTAGCTTGTGCTGGGTCAAGCTATAGCTCGACAAGCTTATGTTGGGTTGGACAATCGACGGAGTCTAGCTGGTTTTGGATCGGGCTATAACCTCGCGATACTCCAGGCTTGATGGAAAAATCACGCACAACATCTACCCCCTAGTGTTCGATGCTCGTTTCAAGTTTCGAAGATTACTGCTCGATTTGATATCAAGCTCGGCGTCGTTGGCAGGTCATCAGACGCAGGTTCAGTTGAGTTTCGAGGTCGAACTCATGCCCGGTCGACGTACTCCACACTTGGATCTTTTCTCTTTCATGACACCTGTCAAACTTTGAATATGAATAGTCAGGACAATTATGTAAATTCCACGCGGTCATGTCGCATTAAATCCAACAGCCTTTGGCAGTCATGCTTCATCGCACGTGGGCGACTAGAGCTGTCCACGCGTGGAGTTGAGGTGACGTGCAACGACAGTTATGATCACAGCAGTTTGATGGTTTGTTGCCCCTCGCGGATGGCTGATACATGGCCATGTCCAAAGGGCTAGAATTACTCGATGAATGGAGGGTCGAGATTCATTGTAGATCGAACCCCGCCCTTTCGCTTCCCATGCAACCCACTATAAAAGCAAGCAAAGTCATCAGAAACTTACTCAACTTGTGAAAATTCTCTAACGTCTATGTTGCTGATTCCTCGTCGTTACGGTGCTCTTTCCAATGAGTTCTTCCCATTCCCTCATTTCGGTAAGGCTTCTTTCCCCCTCTTTAGTTGCTTTCTTGATTTTCACGGCTAAGAGTGGCCATTATCGTGGCCACATTGAGTCTTTTAGGGCTTTACTAGGGTTTTTGAGTGTGTCTCCGACGGTCTTGGGTTTAAGAAGGGTTTACCATGGCAGCTGTCAGAATCTTGGATATGTTGTATGCATTTGTTATCTCGCGTGAGCTATCTCAGGTGCCTAAACTGAAAGCAAAGTGTGGATAGGTCGCCGAGTCTTTCGAGCTATGACACATGTTCACTTCTGTTTCAGGTACCTAGAAGCGAGCTTTAATTATGTTTTCATCTAGTAGCCACATGATTGATCGCATGTTTGATTCACCCGCGGGCTCGGCAATCCTCGGGGGTATAATCCTTAAGGTTTCGGAGGGGATCGTCATGCAAAGCGTAGACCCCGACGCAACGAGCTCGTTTGATCGCGAGTTGGCTCAAACTAAACAGTCTCCAGCTCATAGACTGCGGAAGGAATCACAATCGTCGATTGACGTCAAGGATTTGAGGCGCATAAGGGAGACTTATGCGCCATAACTTAATTTGAGGGTCCCAAGGAACTTTTCCCAGAAGGATCCCCCAGCTAGATGGG